GGGAAGGCCGAGCAGGCGGAGAGCGGAAACCGGCGGCGACGGCTGCTGTGGCGGCGACGACGGCTGGGCCGGAACTCTCGGACCAGCAGAGGCAGAACGACCGTCGGCAGAACACTCAACAGCAGCACCCCCAGAACCAACACCCCAAGAGCGAGAACCCCCTCCAACACCAGCGGCACCCCCAGAAGCCGCAGGACGAACACCCTCCTCCACACCAGCACCCCCAGGGGCCGAGAGCAGCGGCGGCAGTGGCGGCGACAGCGGCGACGGCTGCGGCGGCGACGGCGACGGCGGCGGCAGCGGGGTCGGCGACTGCGACAGTGGGGGCGGAGGCACTGGGGAAGGGGGACGCGGCAAGGACGGACCGGGGGTACCACCAGAGTCAGCAGACTCCTCAACGGGGACAACCGACGGGAGGGGAGTGACGTGGGAGACACCAGACGGGGCAGGACGAGGCGGGAGAGGGGCAGGGGCTACCGTGGGAGAGGGAGCAAGGAAAAGGGGGGGGCAACTGGGAGACCTCGGTGAGGGAAGCGGCGGTAGAAGGAGACGGACTCGTCAAAGGTGACGTCACGAGAGTGGAGGAAGCGGTGAGACGGCGGGTGGTAGAAAAGCCAGTCAGACGAGTCCAGGGGGAAACCGAGGAAGACACAGGGGACAGTGCGGGCAGTGAGCTTGTCCGTGCCAGAGGCACGAACGTGAGCAAGGCAGCCCCAGACGTGGAACGCAGACGCGTCACCGGGGGACCCGGTCCAAAGGAGGGTCGGCGAAACCTGCGGCCGCTGGGAGCGTGGCCACAGGTTAAGCTGGTGAGCCGCGTAGCGAACAGCGAACGGCCACAGAAAATGGGGGGCATCGGCATGGATCATGGAGGTACGGGCGACCTCCATGACCAAGCCGATGCGGCGCTCAGCAACCCCATTCTGCTGTGGCGAGTCCGGCAACGTGTACGACTGGGTGATGCCCTCCGCACGACAGAACTGTCCAAGCCGACCAGAGGCGAACTCGCCGCCACGGTCGGAGTGGAGACACAACACGGGGAGACCGCGGTGGAGACGCGCAGCTACAACCCACGGGAGAAGAACGTCGGGCACGTCGGCCTTCCGCTCCAGGGGAAACACCGTGGTGTAGCGCGTGTAGTCGTCAACGAGCACAAGGAAGTAGCGCTCACCGCGCGGTCCGGGGACGGGGGCAGGGCCCCAAACGTCCAAGTGCAGGGTCTGAAGGGGGGCAGTAGCAGGACGCAGCGAGGAGGAGTGAGGAGCACGGCGGAGCCGACCCTCGACGCAAGGCGTGCACGGTGGCGCAGTCGAGGGAGGAAGGGCAGGGAGCGACGCGGGGAGACCTAAGACAAGACCGTGCTGGGACATGTGACGCAGACGCGGGAGAGCAGGGTGACCTAAGCGGTGGTGCCAGAGAAGGGAGGGGTGAGTGAGGGACCGACACGAGCAAGCTGCAGCGACCTGGGAGGACGCACCAACCGGGGGGGAAGCGGTGTGTAGGGTAAACAGACCGGACACCGGGTCCCGGGGGAACGTCGCAAGGGGGGAACCTGAGACAGCCTCAGAACAGACAGCGAACCGCTCGTGCCCGGGGAACGTGGTGGTGACGCCGAGGTCCTGGAGACAGCCGACACCAACCAGGTTCCTGGAGAACGAGGGAACGTGGAGGCCTGTAAGGGAGCCCGAGGGAACTGCCGGACAGGGAAGGGACGTAGAACTGCGCGCGACGACCGGACCCGCAGAGGGGTCAGCGAGAGAGACAACAGCAGGTGCAGCAAGCGGCGTGAGCGTGGAACGGTCGCGGAAGAAGCAGGCAGAAGCACCAGAGTCGAGAGTGAAGGACAGCGACGCAGTGGCGGAGGCCGCGGACGGAGCCGGTGCAGCGACTAGACTAGGCAACCTAGGCAGTCCTACGCCTGTCGCAGCAGGGGAAGCTAAGCTACACAAGGGTGAAACACCTAAACTAGAGTACACATGGTAGTAAGATCCATCAACACTAGAAGCGTCAGCATACAAAGCATGCAAAGCAGCACCTATCTGATCCATGTCTAACTCAAAGATCGGCACGCCCTGGCGGAGCAGGCTGTGCCAGTCAGGGAGGTCCGGGGCCGGGCCAAAGCGACGACGAAAAAGATCGTCGAGGCGGCGGAAACAGTGGGCGGTCGGGTGCGGGCGGCGGCACAGAGTGCCGCGGAGAGGCCCGGTCTGAAGCTGGTACTGGCAGGTCACAGCACTGGAGCCACTGGTAGACGCCAAGCTGCGCGGGCCGCCACCACGGCCACCGCCTCCGGAGGTGCCGGGCCAACCAGGCGGGAGACGAGCCCACGGCTGCGGCGGGTGCTGCTGGGACGGCGGCTGCGGCTGGGGCTGGTCCTGCTGCTGCTGGGACTGCTGCTCCTGCCCACCGGTGGTAGTCCCCTCAGGCGGACTACCGTCACCACCACCACGACCACTACCACCTGCGTCACCACCCCTACCTCCCTGGCGGCCACGGCCACCGCGACGCGAGCGCTGCTGCGGGTGGACAGCAGCAGCCGTCTCGGTAAGAGGGGTCGCCGTGGCGACCGCAGCCGAAACGTCAGTGAACGTGCACGGGGATGAGGCACAACCGTGAAAGATAGAGACTGCCGGCGCACCGCTCGACTGAGCGATAGTGCGCTGGCGAGTCTCGATCTCAGTGAGGGTGTCGACAAAGGCGGTCAGGGTGAGGTCACCCGGGTGCTGGCTAAGAAAGTGGTCGCGAGCACTAGCGAGGCGGTCTGGCAGGCGCATAGCGATAAAATAGAGCGTCATGCAGAAAGGAGGGGGGAGCGCAGTGAGCTGGGCAGCAGTGCTGGCAGTGCGATAGCGAGTCTCTAGGGCACGCAAATGAGTGGCAAAATCTGCGACAGTAGGGAAGGCAGCCAGGTCTGGGAACAGCATCGGAAAGAGCAAGCGGCCAGCAGAAGCGGAGGCAGGGGTGGAATAGCGAGCAATAACGGCGTCTAAATAAGCTTTGGCCGTTTCAACAGTAGCAAAACGCGAGCGCTCAGACACAGGGAGGGCGTGACTAATAGCAACCTGAGCTACTGCATCGCGTGAGTCCCAGACCGCACAGGCTAGCGCAGCAGTAGAGAAAGCCTCACGGTCATCAGAGGAGGGGTCAGCAGGGAGGGGAGTAGGTGCAGGGGGACGGGGGAGCAAGCCATCAGCATGGACAACCAGAGAGTGGCCATCCTGGCGCTGACCTGTAAGCTGGCGGCGAAGATCGGAGAGCCAGGCGGCGAAGTCAACCGCGTGGCCCTCAGCGTCCAGGCGGAGCACAAAGTCAGCCATCGTGCAGGGTCAGCGGCACAGCTCCTCAGCGACACAGCGGCACAGCAGCACAGCTCCTCAGCGGCACAGGAGCACAGCGGCGCGGGGACACGGCGGCAGCACTCTCCAGTAGGGCAGCAGCTAGGCGTCCCAGCGCAGGCAAGCAGAAGACACAGGGCCCGAGAGGACACGGCAGGCCGAGCAGGGGAGGCGGGCAGGTGCTCTAGGGCCGGGCTGGTGCTGGGAGGGGCCAGGCTGGTGCTGCTGGGGCCGGTCGGGCACGAGGAGGGGCCGGGCAGCGCTGAGGAGAGGCCGGGCGGCGCTAGGAAGGGGCCGGGCGGCACTAGGAGGAGGCCGGGCGGCACTAGGAGGAGGCCGGGCGGCACTAGGAGGAGGCCGAGCGGCACTAGGAGGAGGCCAGGCGGGCGAGCGCTAACAGCAGGCGCGACAGGGGCCAGCGGGCGCGACGGGGCCTAAGGGGCGCGACGGGGCCCAGCGGGCACGACGGGGCCCAGGGGGGGCGCGACGGGGCCGAGGAGGCGCGACGGGGACCAGCGGGCACGACGGGGCCCAGGGGGGCCGCGACGGGGCCTAACGGGCGCGACGGGGCCCAGGGGGGGCGCGACGGGGCCTAGCAGGCGCGACGGGGCCTAGGAAGCGCGAAGGGGCCCAGCGGGCGCGACGGGGCCTAGGAGGGGCGCGACGGGGCCGAACGGGCGCGATGGGGCCCAGAGGGGGGGGACGCGACGGGGCTTAGGAGGCGCGACGATGCCTAGGAGGCACGACGGGGCTCAGCGGGCTCGACGGGGCCCATGGGGGGCGCGACGGGGCCTAGGAGGCGCAACGGGGCCCAGCGGGGGCGCGTTAGGGCCTAGGGGTCGCGACGGGACCCAGCGGGCGCGACGGGGCCCAGGGGGAGCGCGACGGGGCCTAGGAGGCGCGACGGGGCCCAGCGGGCACGACGGGGCCCAGGGGGGGCGCGACGGGGCCTAGGGGGCGCGACGGGGCCTAGGAGGCGCGACGGGCGGAAGCGGTAGGCGGGGGGATCCTAACCTAAGCGTGATACCATGTTAACGTAGAAAGGAATGATTACTAGAGGTGGAAACCTAGAACAAATACTAGTTGGTTGTACTCACTAGAAGCATACCTCAGTCTAGCCTATAACTTCTACATAGATAATATGTATAAGTTGACACAACCAACTAGTATTTGTTCTAGGTTTCCACCTCTAGTAATCATTCGTTTCTACGTTAACAACAGCACCCAACAAGCGCTAAGCAAGCGCCGCGTGGCATAAGCGCGCCGACGCGCGACGTGCAACGAAGCGGAACTAAAAAAAAAAGCGGAAAACCCACATACGGCACGCGTCTGGCACAAAAACGAATTTCGTTTTGTGTTTCTGCTGGCTTCGAATTTCGGTATGTGAATTCCTTTGCTCGTGATTGGAGCACACGTTTCCCACCAGTCTGGTTTGCGCGGCGAGGAGTTAGCAACTGTACTGAAACTTGTGTGGTCAAGTTTGGGCAGTCCAAGTGAATTTTGTGCTGAAAGTGAGGGGTGTACACGTAGGATCGTGCGAGGCGAAGTATCCAGGTCCGCACGCGAAATTAACTTGCGATCGCTTTACAGAATTGTTGATCCGCAAGTATGGGAGCGTTTATAGTGCATATTTTCTGGGAGCGTTTCCTGTGCAAGTTTTGTGACAAGAATGCCAAGGTTTTATTGATAGGCTTTAGTAAGGGCAACATGCAAAAGTGTTCACAGGTTACAGGCTACTCTACAGAAAGACACATTTCAGGTGGTGGACACTTCAGGTTAGAATCCGAGAGGTCAACAGCCGTCAGCAGGTGAAGTAGCGCAGGTTGTCGTCCGTGAGATGACCCATCAGCTTCATCAGCTTCATCCGAGCATCATGGGCTGCTGCTGCTGGGTCATGGGTGGTTGTGCTAGGCCACGGGTGCATGCCACCACACATGACACACGACACATAACACATGAACAGCACCTAGCAGGTGAAGTAGTGCAGATCGTCGTCCATCAGGTGCCCCATCAGCCTCATCGGATCATGCCCTCCCACCAGCCCTGCTGCAGCATCACCCAGTCCAAAGTAACTCTCATGCCCCTCTACGCCAGCAGCAGCAGTAGCAGCAGCACCACTCCCACCTGGTGCAGTGGCAGCAACAGCGCCACCAGCAGCAACAGCAGCAGTGCCATAACTGCCCACCATACCACTATCCCACATGCTCAACTCATCGACACCAGCACCACTCAGCCCACCCTCTCCGGTCAGTCTCTCAAAGGCACTGAACTGCAATCCGCCAGCTTCGGCACCACTCCCTTCTCCCCCACCCGCTTCTACCCGGACCTCCGCCATAGGCTCGGTCAAGGCTCGGCCGAGCATGCGTTCGCCGGACACCAAGCCTTGGAGGTCGGACAGAGCGCGGCGCTTCATTCTGGTTTGGAGCTGGCCCTTGGCCCACGATCCAACGGTGGCGATCAGCTCCTCCTGCTGCTGCTGCTGGGCTATAAGTGCAGCGAGGCGGGGAGAGATGGAGGGAGGGACATGCGTGGACGGAGGGAGGAGGAGCGAGGGAGGAGGTAAGTGATTGTTGGTTGAGTTGCCAGTGCTGTTACTCTTGCTGTTGCTCTTACTGAGGCCATGGTTGCTGGGAGCATTGTTGCTGCAGGTGGCACTTCCGACCCCACCAGCGCTCCTTGCACTCTCCCCCGCTTCTCCGACACTTGAGAGCCCTGCTTTCTCCTCACTCAATCGTGCCATCTGCTGCTGTTGGTGTCGCTGCTGCTGCTGCTCGTGCTGCAGCTGTCTCTGCAACTGCAGCTGCTGCCGATTCAACTCTCTCCTCCGCTTCTCCAGCTGCTGCTGCTGCTGATCGTGATGATGCTGCTGCTGCCGGATCTCCTCTCCCTGTTGCTGCTGCTGCTGCTGCTGCTGCTGCTGCTGACCAATAGCAATGCCACCAGCCATGCTGCTGTATGCAGGAAAATGATGACCCATGGGGGGCATGTTAAAGGCAAAGGGATGGGCTGCATGTGCAGCTGCATGTGCCATGTGTTGGTGCATGGATGGTGGCGGCATTCCCGCCATGCCCATCATACCACCGGGCTGCCCAAACATCATCCCCGGAAACATTTCTCCAAACTGCCCGCTGCCCGGAGGAGCTCCAGTGGGCATGCCAATAGCAGGGGGCGGATGGAAGGAATCACCCGGGAAGCTTCCTTGCCTCAGCAGCTGCGCTTGATGCTGGTGGTGGTGCTGCTGCTGCTGATAGTGATTGTGGTGGTGGCTGTTATAGGGGAAGGTAGGAGGCTGGTTCACAGGGTGGCCGGCTGCCATGTTAGCAGCAGTGGGGGCGGGAGGGGCGCGGGAGGAGGAGGAGGTGGAGAGCCTTGACTTTGGTTGACTCTGCTGGCCGTGCTGCGCCTGCTGCATGCTGGCCTTGATGGCGGCGGCTGTAGCGGCAGCTGTAGCGAAGGCGGCAGGGTCCTTGCCAGACGGCTTGGTGCTGCCAGCAGAGCTTGCAGCAGCAAGGGGAGATCCAGCAGTCGCAGAACCGGTAGCAGCAGAGCCAGTGGCACTGCCAGTGCTGCCAGGAGTACCAACAGAAGCAGCAGCTGCAGCGGCGGGGGCGGCGGCAGCAACGGTGGCGGGATGAGCAGCAGGGAGGAAGGAGGAGGCACTGGCACTCCTGCGAATGGCGTTGCTAATGCCACCACCGCTATTAGCACCACCATTGTTAGAACCACCGGTAGCACCGGCAGGAGCAGGCCCACCCGAACCTGAGAGCTTTGGGCGGAACGGGCAGGAGGCTTGGTGGAGGTTCCGGGCATTCCGGTCAGCAAAGGCATTGCTCCACTGGTGTTTCGGGCAGCGGTCGAACGGGCAGAGGAAAACTCGGTGCTCTGGGGTCACATTCGCTCCAGCCTGTGTAAGCGAGTTAGCAGCAGTAGCAGCAGCACTGGTGACGTTGCTTGTACCGGAGTACATTATAGCGGGGGCATTTAAAATTTCTTGCTCCGTCTTGACTCTGCCTGCCGAGCGGCCAATTTCTTCAGGTGCGTACTCGTTATAATCCGCCCCGATACCAGCAGCAGAGGCGGGCGCGGAGAACCTGTCGCTCCGCTTTTCCTCCCCCGTTTCTTTCCCCCCGGCACCCATCTCTCCGCCCAAAATCTCCGCCAGAAGCGCGTTCGTATCCATGCTCGTGAAGTCCGTTGCGCGGATTCCTCCCCCGACCACTCCAAAAATCCCGCCAATTCCGCCGCTTCCGCCGATTTCCCCGCCAATCCCGCCATCTCCCGCGGCCCTTACAGGCGACCCGGCGGCAAACGGGTCGAATTTCGCCGCGTCTTCGAGCCGCCCTTGCGCTTTAAGAATCTCCGCCTCCTCCTGGTCCAATACCGTGTTCCACGTGGCACTCTCCCGCGCCGTCATCTTATCCTGCAGGCACTTGCTCTGCCGCACTAGCTTCCTTATCCGTGCCACGTCAGGGCACAGGTGCCGAATCACTGACGTCAGCACGCCCACCTTCCACGCCTTCTTCAAATCGTGGGGTTTTTTATAAGGAGGCGGTCCGCTGCCGCGTGTCAGCCCCAGCTGCGGCCACCAGTGCTCGTCCCCCGACGGCCACCAGGGCGGCGGAACGCCCTTCTCGAGGGGGAATCTGCGCTGCGGGGGTTCGCAGTGCTGCATGAGTGCCGACAGCAGCGACCCCAGCGTCGTGTCCTGCAGCTCCTGCAGCGTCTGCGGCGTCGCCAGCGCGGAAGAAATCCCGCCGATTCCGACGATTCCGCCGGTTCCGCCGGTTCCGCCCGCGCCGAGGATCATCCCGCCGGGAAACGCGTTGCCGTTCCCCCCAGTAGCGGCGGCGGCGGAAGTGGCGGCCTGTTCCGCGTTGTAGCGCGCGATGGCGGCGGGGCCGTTGCGGTCAAACCGAACCTTATCCTTCCACCACGCGCGGAGATTATCGGAGCTTCCGCCGACTGGCTTCCCCTTCTCGGGAATGATCCCGTACACGAAGCCCTGCGCGTTGCACACCTCCATCATCTTGAGCATGTACTTAAGAATGCCGTCGTGCGCGCGCGACATCTTTTTCCGCCGCGCCTGGTCCTGCTGCGACTGCCGCTGCCTCGTCCGCTGCTCGTTCTCCGCCGCCGCCGCCGCGTCCTTCGGCGCGTCTCCCGCCGCATCCCCCGCCGCGTCATTCGCGTGCTCATCCGCCGTAGTTACCTCGCCGTCCTTGGCCTTCTGGCCATCTTTAATCCGTTTGAGCTTCAGGCGATCCTTCCACATGCGTCGCTCCAATTCGTCCACGTCGAACTCGTCGTCGGAAAAGCAGTCGCCGAAGTCGCAGGCGTCGCCTGCGATGAAATCCGCCATGTCGCCGAGATCGAGCTGGTCGCGGATAAGAATCTCCGCGTCCATCTGTTCGCGAGGCGCGTACGAAATAGACGCCGGATGGAAAGAGACCTATGTCAAATAGGTAAGCGTCGAGTTGTGCCGGTTTATAAAAACCCTTCGAAATGTGGTTTGTGGAATCTCCTCGAATTTTCGAGCACGGGCTTTCGGCAAGCCTTGGAGCCGGAGCGGCTGACGAGGTGACACGTGGTACTCAGAACTGACCGGCTCGGCGCGCGACGCTAAGGAGGGGAACTCGAGAATAAGGCCTCGAAATCAAGAAATGATGAAAAATCTCTGGGACAGCTCGTGAGATATGACGGATCGATGCCGTCTTGAGGGAATGCTCTCTTGCTGCCGTGATGATGCTGACTGAGGGAGGAGAGAGAGCAGAAAGTCCTTACTGGCTGATTTCTGAGTCCTGACTGGCCGAAAGTCCCAAAACACCTTCGAAAGTCCTAACTGGCCGATGAGCTGCCACTAACTCGATGTCGATATGACAGGTTGGAATTTGGAAACGCGGAATGACTGATGGCAGACCGCAGCAGCGGAGAACAAATAGGATACGGCAGCACCGAGAGTTGACGACGTTCGTTCGAAGAGAGATTTCTATTGGCTAATATTCCTCCTCGTCTCTCTCGGCTAGTCGCAGTCTCGCGTCAGAAATCTGGCGCGCGATTTGGATGATGGTCGTCGTTGAGGAACAAGAGAGAACTACCCGCCGTCGTCCCGTAGAGGACGAGACAAAGAATCTAACTGTGGTGCTGCGAGCTTGTGTGACTCGCTGAAGCAGAAAGGAAGTGGTCAGAAACGCTGCGGCAGTCCCACGCCTGAGGGCTGCCCGGTTTGTGGCTCTCAGAGCGTTTCTCCCAGTCTCAGAGCTGAGGGATGGTGAAAAAACGGAAGCAGATGGGTGGTTTTGAGAGCATCCGCTGGGATGCGACACACTCCTGGCCCTCGGCTCAGCTCCGTGGTAGGTGTGCTTGACAGCAGTCACTCACTGACCCGCCATGGGTTCGGAGGGAGTGAGTGAGTCGAATCGAAACGCTTGGGGAGAGAATTGGGGAAAGAGGGGGAAAAGCACAACCTTCCCATCCCGCAGGCATCGCTTTCGTCTTTCAGGAAGGGAGGCCCAAGCAAGCTAGCAAGCCTGCTTCGCCTGCTTCATCTCCTCAAAATTCGAATCCTTAGCTCGAGCGAAACGGAGGGCCAAGCGTCCCGCAAATTGGCGTGCGTTTGTGGCTCAGAAGGGACCCCCTGCCCGTGACCACTGACGAACTGGATAGGGATCGCGAAAAGTCGTCAAGTGGCGGGGGGCAGAGTCAGACCACTGCGCGCTCAACACATCAGCATAGTGAAATCCTTGGCAGTTCAGCAATTGGGCAATTCGGCAAGATCTGACCACTCCGAGTAATTATTTCCAAGGTTGATATTTGGTATTCGAGCAACTTACACGTCAGCTCATGTAATATCAGGATCACTCATCCACATGTTACGTCAACTGGAGTGCAGAAACGCCAATTTCCACCGAAGCAGAAAGCACAGACGAGTGGCGAATCGTGGCAGCTGCCACGTCAAGAACCACCCGTTGGGAACAGTCTTGCTGATCCAGCCAATATAGTGCGGCGCAGGGGCGAGTTTAGGAGATTTGGAGCGCATCAACAACAGCTGCCCCCTGGCTCAAGTTTCGGAGCCCGTGGGTTAGAAAAAAATCTTATGAGATGAGTTGCTTTTGCGACCTGCTTGTGCATATTTTAGCGAGCGAAGTGTAGATAACGAAAAACCATTGGCAGCTAGAAACCAAGAGACTGTACAGTACAGAAAGGTTCGGAAAGCGACAGTTGCGCGCCACATCCCCTAGCAGCAGCCCAGCTGGTCGTTTTTCGAAGCGCGCCCACGCAGACCCGAACAATTGCATTCAATGGGGGATGGCAAGAACTTCTTCGCGGAAGAAACGGATCTGCATGAAACTGCTTTTCTTACGTCGCCCCACCAGCACAGCTGGACCGGGTACATATTACACCACACATGTTCCATAACCTAACCCTGAACCAAATATTTATTTCATAACTCATAGCACTCTATAGATATATACATTTTAGAGCAACATAAGGTGGCGAGCCTTTTGTCTTCAATCTCCACCTCCGCCACCGCCGCCATCTCCCCCACCGCCCCCTCCGCCTGAGTCGCCTCCACCCCAACCGCCTCCGCCAGAGTCACCTCCACCCCAACCACCTCCGCCAGAATCACATCCTCCAGAATCACCCCATCCGCTGAACCATCCACCTCCCCCCCTGTCCCCGCATTCGTCTGCCGCTCCCGCATAAGAATTGTCACAGCACTCGACCGCATCCTCGCAACACTCGGTTCCGATATCCAGTGCAAGAAAGGCCGCAGCGTCGAAGGAAAGGCTCCTACTGTGGCGGTGGTGGTGGCCGCTCTTTCTCACAATTTGACCTTTAACCGGCGGCGCTTTTCCCTCACGGTATACCGACAGCGTAGGGGGCACTCGAGAGAAAGCATCAAATCCAGGAGTTCCTTTCGCAGGCGCGAAGGACGGTTTTTCCACTGTCACCTCGACTTTGACCTCCCCTGCTGCGGAGACGCCACCCCACCCGATTCTGGAGAGCTTACACGTGGCAGAATACGGGCCGCCATGGTTTCGAATTGCCGGCTCGAGCAGGACAAGGGCGAAGCCTAAACATTTCCGTCGCGATTTAGACTTGAAGAGTTCGACTAGGGCGAACGGGCAGAAGTTCGCTTCGCGCCCGGTCAGATGAGCAGGTGCGTGAGGCTCGACGGAGAGTAGCGCCTCGTCGACTAAGAACTTCACAACTGCGTTGTTCCAGACTGGGCAAGGACCGCCGTGAAACGCGGGACCAATGGGCTGGCGGTGCTTGGTGTTACCGTACAAGCACACAGTAGCGTAGGGAATAAGCGGGCGGAGACACGACGTGTCGCGCAAATCACTGGCGGATTCTAAGCGAATCTCGACAAGCACCTTAGGCTTCTCATCGTCTGCCATCCGCGCTAGGGTTTGCAGGGAGACACAAATCCAGGTGCAGAGCAAAGCAGGAAAGTGGCAGACAGCGAGGCAGGCCTGGGAGACTGATCTTGGTGTGAGCGCGATTGCTGTGCTGAAATGGATTGAATGGAATGAGCGCCTGCACGCGCCACTATTTGTGCGCAGCATTGGCTCCATTGCTTCCCCCGCGAATCTCGCTAATGCTCTCGCGAATGGTTTGCCGACAGCTTCAGCCAACTGCAGGAGGAACGTTGCTTCAGAGTGGCGCGTGGCTGTTTTCGCACGCAAAACACACGGGCAACTGCAGCCCCGCCGAAAGTGTTCTCGCGTGGTTTTGATCGGGTCCAACTAACCCTGCTGCTGTAACAGTCAAGTTCCACGTGTCGTGGATTGCGAGCACTTAAGCCTCGCGACGAGATTTGCGAAAGCATTCCGTGCCAGGAAACTCAAGAGAGTTACTATGATACATCGAGGGTTACGGGTGCGTCATAGGACAGTTTCGTGCGTGGCTGTGTTTTGAGAAATGTGAAGCGCCAAATTGTGCTGCTTCACGTTCGTCGCCTGCGAAGCCCTTGCGACTGTCATGCTGGCTTCCACAGTCCCCGTCGCGAAATTGGGCCCATCGCACCACCCCAACGACGCCTCATGAGTTCGCATGCGACTGGCTGTACCTCCACCGCCACCACTCAAACGAGGGCAACCGACAGCCGACACCCATGCGACGAATCACAACATTTGCGCGCCTCGGATCTGGCTCTGTTTCGAATTGAAGGCACATTTTCACAACCGCAATGTGCGGCGCCTGTGCATCCCTCCAGAAATTCCAGAATTTCAACTCACCATCAGCACCGCCCAGCCAGCACCCCACCCACACCACACCCCAAGTCCCCTTCCCCACACTCCTTCACAAGCCTAAATGGCACAACTCCCCCAACAGCGCTCCATTGACCCATTTCTGTTTTGTTTTGAAGTGCTAGATCACAGACTGATACCCAATCGCCTGTAGTAGCATCTCACCTGAGCAGCATTGTTAGCGAACGAGCTGAATATCTGCCAAAAAATCGTCGAGGAGCTAAGCTCTGCTTCCTAGGCCACGGTGTATCATGGCAAAGACACGGCTTCTACAGGCATTCCTGACGGCCCTTTTATTAGTAGCTTGTAAGTTTCACGCGTTCGGAGAGCGTCGTCGAAACCATTGAAAGCAGTGCAACTCTACTTCCGAAACGTCTCGTCAGCTTCTATACTCCAACGAAAGAGTGAACACCCTTTGATTCGCACTCATCATGCTCCTCTCTTTGCCTAACTTCCCTCCATTATGCGGCAGGTGCAACCGCCACAGACGCCCAGAAGCTCGGAAAGCTGAAAAGTGAGTGCGCTTTCCCGATCCCGGATCATGATTCTTTCTCGGCATTTGCGATAACCGTTGCGGCGGACATGTGTCCCTGTTCTGCCTGCGTGTACACCCATTACGTCACTCTTTTTCTTCTTCTTCTTTTTCCGTTTAGGAGGAATCCCTCCCCCTCCCCCCCCTTCCCCTTCCCGACCCCCGCGCCCGTGTCCTGAATCCTCTCTCCCCCCCCCACCCGCTCCCTCCCCCACAACCCGCTCCCTCTCCCCCCACCCTCTTCCCCAATTTCTCCCCTTGTCTTCCGCAGGAAGAGTGGCGACTTTCATCAACGGCGGGTTTTCCGCGAATGTGAAGCTCTCGCTTTACACCTACTATAACAAATACAATATCGCCTTCGAGACCGTCCTCACCACCACCAACGGCACCCTGCTTCCGCCTTTCCAACACACGCTCGTCAACGCCACGGATGATACTCCCTATGTTATTTTCCCTCCGGGTGTGTGGGACGTCAAGTACGATAAACAGGACGGGATTGTAACGGGTTACCAGTACACTGGCACCGGTGCTGTATTCAACAGTAACGCGTATTCGGGAACCGTCGCAGCGAGTGCCGCGCCGCTTGCATTAACGCGTACGCTGAGCACGATGGCCAGGTGGCCGGCGCGGTTCAAGGTTATCCTTGCAGATTCGGCCAACAACACTTTGGGCTCTAGAACCCTCAACTTCGCTTGAGTGCGATGCGTCAAATAGGATTCGGGAAAAGTCCGTGGCTGAAACTCTGTATGATAAATAGAATCGCTTCTATTCAATGATTCAGCTGATGTAAAGCTGGTTGTGGGCAAACGTCCCACCTCACCAAGTCCTTAGTAACTGCACTGCGCATTATTGTACTTCAGATTTTTTTTGGGATATTCTGCTTGGTTTTTGGGCCCACCTCGCTCTATTGACCAATATTGTTACTGTACGTTTGCTATGTCATCGCATGATAGCATCATCCCTGCTGTCCTGGTAAAGAGCACGAGGCCAACCTGGGTCCACTGATTCAGTTGGGTACGTGCGCACCTAACAACACTGATCTGGAGGTTCTCCTGATTCCTGATCATCTGTGTTGGAAATATCTCAAAGGACTTGAGCGTTTCTGAAGTGTAACACTGCACTCGAGGAAGACTACAAGGGAGCACGCGAGTCAACGGAGGTTACATGAGGGGGCGGACAAAGAATGCGAAAAGACTCGAAAGGTCGCAACTGGAGGTTGCGACTGACCGTTACAACATCACGGATGGTAACCGAAGCGGCAATCGAGTCGCTGTGCGACTCGATAAACCGTTCCTGTAATTGTACTCTACAACTGCTTTCTTATCTTCTATATATTGCTGTATGCTTGTTTCTTTAATCAATCACTTGTTCTCACATACTAGTACAAGGGTTCAACTGTCTCAAACTTCCGCTGCACTACTCAAAGTCTCAAGTCTCTACAGCTGGGACTTAGTCTCTGAAAAGGATCCTAAGGGCTTTTATCAGCCCAACAATCTGAAGCATAATCCAGCAAGTGGATCAATGACTACAGCTGTTGAACATCTCAATCAATAGCAACCCCTCAACATTCACACACCCATTCTGTTATTTGGCTTTACACTCACAAGATTGTGCCTCACTTCGGCTTTCCATTGCTGGTCTATTGCGTGTATACTATGGTAAAAGTCGAAATCCATGGACCCCACTCAAATACCGGTATGTATGTCACTGACCACAATTCAAGAGCACACTCCGTACGCTTTTATGAAATAGTTACCTTGTCCAGGGCACTTGACATGTGTTACCAAGTAATTAGTGCCAGGGCTCGGTGAACACAGAGTGGTCGGCGGAGAAGATTGTTCGGACTTCGCCATCCCCACCAGACCATCGCGAACCACCGCGCTGACGACTAACCGACATTCATCAAGGTCGTCGCATGTCGTCAACGACACACCGACACCTGCGAGACAAACGGTGATTTGCCGTTCCTCATCGGCGACGAAGCTCGTGCGACGGAAGCGCGACCCGAGCAACCGAATTTCGAATCCGCGTGATAAATGCGACTGGCACCAAGGGATGAATCCCCATTGAAAGCGACGAGCTCAACTCCCATTATGCGACACTTTCCGCGACGCCTAGCGCATCGTTCAGCACGCACCTTCAGCTCCTACACTCCCCTCTGCGACAATACATACCACGTTCTAACTACCCCTACCTGATTCCGAGGCACTTCACGAGAAAAAGAGGTCCTTTCGCCTCGTATCCTTCGCCCGTGGGTTCAGGAACTAGACGTGCTCTCAGAGGTTCTCCAGCTGCCGTTCGTAGTTATTTGCTTTCAGAAGACTGAACCCTCGGGTCAGACTCCAGTTTAGTGGCTTACAGCCCACAACTAATTTTAGCGATCCCTTAAAGCTGACATATGAGCACTCTAGCGCGTTCCATGCAATCATGGGAGGCAACGGAGCTTATCCCAGTATCAGTTTTTTGGAAGACGGACCTGCCCGTAAATATTGCCGTCATATCTCTCGAGAACGACCAGCCGTTGAAGAAGATCGTCTCACCCGCCGTCAAGGATCCCCACAGTCGGTTTTCAGGCGCCGCCTCGTTCCTAGTGGATGCTTCCTTGCTTATACCGCAGCCGCAGCTACCATCGCAGCAGCAGCAGTCGCCGAAGCAACAGGGATATCGACGGCTCTTGCTTGACTTATACTCCTCCGCGACGCCCCTACATTCCAAATCGGTTGGCCGTGCGACGATTTCCCTTGAAGGAAACGTCGCCAGCCATTTGGTAAAGGGCTCGTACGACGTTGTTCAACCCAGCGGGGTCGCCGGGCGACAGAGCACCACTCGCGGAATCGCACACGTGCACGTGCGAGCAGGCAAGGCGTTTCCCCTGCCGCGGCGAGGACAACCAGAGTACGCGAGACTGGCCAATGTGCAGTCGATTATGAACCCTGCACGATTCGCGCTCCCGTACGCTACTCCTCCTGCTACGTCGCAAGGCCGCCGCAACGCGAGTCACATGCTCATGCGAACGCGAAACGACCGCAGCGTGTTAGGTGTCTCAAATAGTGCTCCTGACAGAAGCCTCGCCCATCCGCACCAGTACAGGAGTAACGCTGTCTCTCAGGAGCCGACGATCTCGGCGAAAGAGAATGTTCCGCCCGTGGTGGTCATACGTAACCCTGACGGCACGCTCGAAGATCTAGGCTTTTTAGTAGTCGCCATGTGAATTAGGTGACTGATCTCGTGACGTTGGCGTAAGTTAGCTGAAAGTGGTGTTCTGTAAGCCAGGGGCTGAAAGGATGCTCAGCCCGAGCTCCTGCTCATATCGCGTACGACTTGCTGGGACCAGACAGCTGTGTCTCGGTAAACCATAGAAGCATTTGATGAGACGAAGCATGCATCTTATGAAGCCGTTTAGAAGAGATGCTACACGTTACTTTACACCACAAACTAACGTGGCAACTTGACAATTTTGCATGTGAACCGACTTTCTCCTTCATACGTGTATCACCTAATCCTTCCCAAACAAACCCCCTCTGTAGACGAGATCCGAGCACACAAGCAAGCGGCCGTGACAGTAATGGACGGAGGAATTCGCGAGGGAGATGCCAGTAGGGAAGGGCAGGGGGAAGCCGGAACGCAGGCGATGGTTAAGCAGAGGGATAAGGACGGTGCGAGAGAGAGCCGAGACTATTGCCTGGAGAATGTGCGTCGGGATGTTTCCCACAAGACTCCACTGCTCTTGTGCTTGGAATTTTACCAGCTGGACTGCAGCGGTGATGTTATTCCCCTCCACTGTAGCTGTCCCCGCGCATACAGCAACCATTTTCACACCAATCACATCCGTTTGATTCCATGTCTTCCCTGGTAACACGGTTACAGTGAGCAGTGCGTCGACCTCCAATCCGATCCCACCAGGTGTCAGCGTGGCATTGGGCGGCTGACTAGCGTTGACTCGGAAGACCAGGTCGGCGTCAGGGTACTCGCGGAACATTCTGGGAAGGATCCAGCGCCAGCCCTTGGTGTTGAGGAGCTTCCAGGGGAAGGAGTCTGGGAGGTGGTCTATGGTGTGGGCGAGGGCAGCGGCCTGCGAGTAGGGGAGGAGAGGAAAGGGAAAGGGAATATAGGAGAGGGAGAGAGGAGGGATGGGAAACGGGTGCAGGGCACTTGGTGTTGAGGAACCTTGAAGGGAAGGAGTCCGAGAGGTGGTCTATGGTGTGCGCGAGGGCACCAGCCGGCCTGAAGTAGGGGAGGAAGTGAGGTAGGTGGGAGGGGCACAAAGGGAGAGGGCGAGAGGCGAAGATGGTCATAGGCCCTTGGTATTGAGGAGCTTCCAAGGGAAGGAGTCGGAGAGGTGGTCTCTGGTGGAGGAGAGGGCACAGGCTTGCGAGAGTGAGAGAGTGAGAGAGTGAGAGGGTGAGAGGGTGTGGGGAGGAGGGAAGGAAGGGGAGGGAAAACGGACGGACGGAAGGGGAGGGAATGCCACATGCAGCAGCACAGTTGTCTGACTAACGCAATCATTGCAACGCGTACCTCATAGTACACTTGGCTGGCGGAGGCAACGAGGTGCTGGGAAAGAGAAAGGGCCACCATCTGCCCTGCCTCCCCACACTCGTCCCCCTCCCCCACACACGCTGCAGGCCCCACCACACTCCCTCCCTCACTCCCTCTCTCCCCCCATCCTCCATCCACAGCCACCTCCCTCTCTCCTTCTCCTCTTCCCTTCCCTGCCTCCACACCACCCCTGCTGCTGACCACCCCACCCTCCTGCAATACTCTCACGCCCCCACTGTTGCTGACATCAGCATCTTGTTTGCTGCTCTCCCCACCGCCAAGACTCCACCCGCTGACATCAGCAGCAGCAGCAGCAGCAGCAGCAGCAAGGGTGGATGGCAGACTGGCGTCAGCATCAGCATCAGCATCAGCTGGAGCATGAGCATGAGCAGCAGTGGGATCACGAGTGGAGGGCAGGAAGCGGCCGTGGCACGCGAGGGAGATGCTCTGACCGTCGATGGTGGGGTCGGCGGGCAGAGTGGCGTCGAGAGCCGCCGTGCCGTCGATGGGGACAATGCGCGGCAACGCCTGCAGGGCGGTGTTGGCCGTGTTGACAACTGTGTCTAGAGCGCCGGTGATGGCGTCCTCCATGGCCGCTCGGAGGTGGTTGGGTAGCAGGTCAACGAGACTGGAGGAGGGGGGGGGCAAGAAGGACGAGAGGAGGGGGGGTTGTCGATGGGGATAATGCGTGGCAGTGCAGGCAGGGTGACTACTGTGTCTAGAGCGCCGGTGATGGCGTCCTCCATGGCCGCCCGCACAGGTGGATCGGCAGCAGATGGGGGGGATTCAACCAGGCTGGTGATGCAAATGGGGGGGAAGTGGGAAAGGGGAGTGGGGGGGTGGGGGGAGAGAGGGGATGACAGATAAGGGGGGTGTTGTGGGGGGATAGGATGGACGGATATTGTGGATGGGCACACTACGGTGCAGCGCCTGCAGGGCAGTGTTGGGCATGTTAGCCCGAAGATGGTAGGGTGGCAGGTCAACCAGGCGGGTGAGTATACCAGGGGGGATAGAAGAGGGTAAGGGGGGGCCGGGGGGGATGGGGGGGGAGGATTGATGGGTACGATGCGGGGCAGGGCCTGGAGGGGGCCTGGAGGGGGCCTGGGGGGGCCTGGGGGGGGCCTGGAGGGGGCCTGGAGGGGGCCTGGGGGGGGCCTGGAGGGGGCTGCGGGGGGGCCTGGAGGGGGCCTGGAGGGGGCCTGGAGGGGGCCTGGGGGGGGCCTGGAGGGGGCTGCGGGGGGGCCTGGAGGGGGCCTGGAGGGGGCCTGGGGGGGGCCTGGAGGGGGCCTGGAGGGGGCTGCGGGGGGCCTGGAGGGGGCCTGGAGGGGGCCTGGAGGGGGCTGCGGGGGGCGCGGGGGGAGCGGGAGGGGGGGGTGTTAGACGCAAGGCAGCGCCATGCAGGGCGGTATTGGCTGTGGCTGGTGTCTGCCTAGCACGGCCCGCCCTGCGGCACCTAAACTGCCCGAATTCCGATCCTCCATGGCGTGCTGTTGACTCAACAACCCTCCATGGCTGCTCTGCTCTGCCCGCAGGCGGTCGGGCAACAGCCAACGAGACTGGTGATTATAACGGGAGGGAGGGGGGGGGGGAAGAGGAATAAAAGAGTGAAGAGGGGTGGTTTGGCAAGTCATCCACACGGCAGAGTCACCTCACTCCCCCCACACAGTCACACACACCGCAGGCATGTTAATCGAGTCAACTTCCGTACCGCTCATAGGCACTCACTCATACCCCAAACAAGCACACCCCATACAAGCACACTCACAGTGTACAGCCACGAGATGTGATAAAAGTTTTGTTTTGACACACGCCATACAAGCACACCCCGTGCAAGCACACCCCGTGCAAGCACACCCACACAGTGTATAGCCATGAGATGCTCCCGGTGAGGTGAATCTCGATAGCGTCAATCGCCGCGCCGCGTTGCAGCAGCGACACCCACAGCCCGCCGAACCGCTCCTGAAGCTGCGCCGCGATTCCCGCCTGCATGCCCGTTATTTGCACGCTCGCGTTCCCCGAGTCGCGCACATACCCCCCCGCCATCGCGTAGCTCCACGTCAGACTGACGTTCGCGGTAATCCTGCCGGAAAACACGGTGATTTCGCCGCCCGAGTCGCCCACCCCTAGGTCGATACTCGCGTCGTCTATAGTCGCGTTCCATAGAATCAAATCCGTTAGGTTCACTTCTAACGAGCCGAGAGGCTTGGGAAGGTCCTTCCGAAGCTGCAGGTCAGGTATGGAAAGCGGGATTATCTCCTCAAGGACTTCCTTTACAAGCACATCCCGGAAAGATTGCAGGCCCGATTCTGACAGCCGCGCGGAAATCCCGCCGGGAGACCCGGAGGAGCGGGTCTCACGCGCATCGGGACCCGAATTACTACGGCTGAAGTTTAAGTGCTTAATCGCCGTCAACTGCTCGTTAGAATCACGACTGGGTAAGCGGAGAGGCGATATAAGAACATCACGAGCTGCGCGTTGCGGGAAGCGCGAGCGGATGGTGGAGTGCGCATAGCGGGTGGGGCGGAAGGCGTCTCCGGGAGACGCGAGAGCGAGACAGAGCGCCACGTAGACGGCGAGAGAACCTAGCTGGGTCGCGCGGGAAGGGGCTGCCCTGCGTGTGGTAGCCATGGTGGAATAAAAGTGGGGGGGCATAGCGCCGTGACTAAGAAAAAAATAATAAAATAAACGTATTATACGTGTTGCAGATTCCCATGGAGCAATAGCTCAGTGGTAGAGCATTCGACTGCAGATCGAGAGGTCCCCGGTTCAAACCCGGGTTGCTCCTTCGTACGAAAGACCCCTTTTAGCCTGATTCTGCGGTCAGATGGAAGCGAGTGGGGTTTTTGATTTGCATGGTGGGGAAGGTAGTCAAGTGAATTCTCCTCGGTTGATTCCGACCAAAGGGTGTGGTGCGGGCGTTCTGCCGGCACTCTGATTCCGCCAGGCTCGGCACAGAATCACTAGGTTTGACAGTTTTTTTTTCGACTGCCCAGACAGCCGAACCTAATTTCGGTGAACGACCCGGCCCGGCCTGCTGGTGGAAGATTCCCTCGACGGAATCACCTGCCCGCAGAACGAGGCCTTTGTCCCTCTGGCGTCAGCAGGAGTCCCTTGCTGTTCCTCTTGCATGTTTTCACTTCAGACCATGCCATGCCACAGCTACCACACTTCCAGCTGGCCTAGGTTTAGCAGCAGCAACGCAATGGATCATCAGCCTACACATCGGGCTGTGGAAATAGTATTTTATTGCCTCATGCCTACAGTCAAGTCACATTCAACCGCCCCCATGTCGAGGATTCAATCATCACCCTACTAAGGTCTGACCCAACCTCCTACCCCTTATCAGCATCATGTGCATGGGAGCACCTCCACAGAATTACCACATCCACCCATCCACCGCCATCCTCCTGCCCATCCAGCCCAGCACCATGCCCATGCAACCCCACGTAAGTAACCAGCAGGTTCAGCCATCCTCTTACCCATCCCCAGAAGCACCATGCCCATGAGACCCCATGTATGTGACCAGCACGTTCGCCCGCCCACTGCCATCCCTCCACTTACCCATCATCCCTAGCACCATGCCCATGCCCATGCGACCCCATGTATGTCACCGGCAGGTTCACCCGCCCACTTCACTCCACTACCATCCCTCCACTTACCCATCGTCCCTAGCACCATGATCATGTCCATGCGACCCCATGTATGTCACCAACAGGTTCACCCGCCCACTGCCATCTGCAGGCTGCTGGGGGCAGCGCTCCACCATCCTCTTGGCGCCACGCTGACGAACTTTAAAAAATCCAAGACCACGATGACTACTCCCTCCAAGCCCCATGGTTCCGGCTCTTGGATCGCCACCTGGTTCTCCACTCTATCGATCTCTTCGCAAATGTGCACAACGCTCAGATGAAGAGGTTTTGCTTCAAGATTCCACACCCTACGGCCGCAGTGTTCGATGCGTTTTCGTTCAGCTGGCAGCACGAGCGCGGCTTTGCATTTCCTCCTCCCAACCTCATTCCAGCCACATCACCACACGCTAAACGCACACACGCTGAGCTGACCTTGGTTATTCCCGAGTAGCCGGGAGCATCAAGGTGGCCATTACTCCAACAGGCACCTGACGCTTGGGTGCCATAAGTAACGACACACATTCCCCGCACCCACGGCAGCCAGTGCCTCTGCCCTGGCACACACACACTCGCCTTCGCAGGACAAGGCTTTCCTCATACTCTGAGGATTGCACTGCATCTCACGTATAAAAAAATAATAATAACTGTACTCTACGCTATACCTTTTCAGGCATTATATCGAAACTGCAAACGCAACTTCTACACGTAATCACCCATGTTCGTGCCCCTTCCACCATCCGAACGTATGAGCCCTACTGGCTCAAATTTCGCTCCTTCTGCATGAAGGTGAAGTCGAGTTACCTGTCTGCAACGGATATGACACCATACCTGATTCATGCACTAAATCACCAGGCCACCACATCCGCAATATCGCTTACATGCTCCGCCGTCGCCTTCGCGCATCGAATGACTGGCGAGCCCTCTCCCACAACTGGACCATTTACACTACAAGCGCGCGAATTTGCCAAACGCCATGGCCCGCGCCCCACCCCGAACAAGGAACTTTTGTCGCTCCACCAACTGCACACCATGGCCCGCCCCTTCCTGGAGTCCACCCGGCCGGCCGAGTACCAGAAAGGACTCATCCCCGTCCTTATTTTTGCCGCCTTCCTACGTTACTCCGAGCTTGTCAGCCTCCAATGGCATGACATACAGTTTCAGCATGAGGCGATGTGGCTGCTCATCCCGCACTCCAAGACCGACCAGGAAAGCAAGGGCACGTGGATTCCGGTCGCCCCCACTTCTGGCCCATACTGCCCGGTACGCTGCACACGACACTTTCTTCTCTTCGTGGGTCACACCTCCACCCCACACAAGCCATTGATCCGAGCCTTCAGGAACAGCAGCACGGCAACTCCACAGGACCACGCGCCTTCGTACACCACCATCTGGAACTGGTGCCTTGAAGCATTCACCAGGGCCGGCCTCGATAGCGCCCACCTCGGCACCCACTCCTTCCGCAAGGGCGCTGCTACAGCGACAGCCAGCCTGGGGATATCCAACCGGCTGTTCAAGCGACTTGGCCGTTGGTGCAGCGATAACGCCAAGGAGCTCTACGTTATCATCGCGCAGGACCAACTTCTTCAAGCCTCCACGCAACCCCAAGACGCAGCCACCGCTCCCACGCTCAATCAACACCAGCTATCTATTGAACGCCACCGCCAACACCTTCTGCACCAGGGTCTCATATATCAGACGAAATCGGTTTGACGGTCTGAAAATCAGACCTGTTTTTTTCCATTCATCTGATTTTTTGACGGGTTAAATTAACTCGTCTGATCGTCCAGATTAGCCATCAGATTTCGCCTGAAATTTCAGACCAGGTGTAGACTTTCTTATGAGAATTCAGATAGCGCGCATTTTTTCGTCTGAGAGTCTGAGACATTCCTCTTCGTCCCCCCATCCCTCCTCCCTCCCCCACCACAACCGAGATTTTTTTGGCGAAGTCCTCGACTGCCAGGGTTTAGGGTTGCCATCCAAACCCTGGCACTACTGTTCACTTGCTCGTGTGGCGACAATCTGGCTTGTCGTACAGTAGCGAGGCGTCGCACGATTTCTGACCCCCCCGTGACACTCGATGGTTGCGTTCTGCAGGCAAAAAAGGAAGGTACCGATTACATCAAAGCATCTTCCGAAAGCGCGAATTTTTGCTTCGGCTCGAGGGTCAGCCCAATTTTTTTTCTTCCGAACCTTATACAATATACCCGAACCTGGTTACATCGAGATGCCTGCAGAACGCGTCGACCTACAGATGACATCGACGTCACGGAAGCACACTCCCTCGCTTCCCTCCCTGGCAAATCTGACGCAGACTTGACGCAACGTTGACGTTCGCTCAATCGCGGAGTCCACCTTGCGTGCGGCGTTACATCAGCCGCACGGGTGTACTAGGCCTCCACACCCCTAAAATGTAACCGCTAAAGCTTGACCCCACCAAAAGAGAACTTGGGCCTGCCCCTAGGTTGTGGGATTGTGAGTGCATCTCCAAACCCTAGTTTTTTTTTCCGTCATTTTACCCCCGAATATTTCTCATCTGCCCAAGGGCAGCAGGTTTTTGTTGCGCAATTGTTAAATTTGCTCCTCTCTCATTTCGCCTGCGGATTCTGCAATTCGGTCGCGTGGTTTCCGAGCGAGGCTCGGAAAGTGTACCTGGTTTGGGTGGTTATTAGTGCTCGCGAAATCGCTTGAGGATCCAGCAATGTAGCAAACCTACAAAGCCTAAACAAATATATATATATATATATAATATATATAATTTGACAGACCCCCTAGGTTTGGTAGCTGAAAGCACACCACACACGCAACACCCCCAAAACCCTTGCACCCCCATGCCCTGCAGCAGCGGTGGCGTCGTCAGCCCGGTCGACCTCTCGACGTGCGAGGCGGCGACGTCAGCGGCGGGGGCAGCGGTGTCGGCGACAACGGTACGACGACAGCGGCAGCTGCGACGGCGGGTGGCGGCGGAGCTAGCGGCACCTGCGGCATCGGCGGCGGCTTCGACGACGGTGGCGGCGGCGACGGAGACCACGGCACCCGGCGAGGTGGCCCGGCTCAGCAACGACGGGGCCGCACGGCGCAAGACAGCCATCGGCTGCGACGGGGAGAAAGGGAAATGCAGAGAGGGGGGGGGCAAAGCTGCAACGAGGCGCCATGGCGGCGCGGCGCTGGCAGACGTGCGGGCGAGCTGGCCGGCGCTAAAACATTGCGCGGCCCACTGCCGCCCGTCGACGACGCCACGACAGCTCGACAACGCCGCCACGGCACGGCGTCGCTGCCGCGGCAGCACGTCGACGCTGCCACGGCAACACGACGAGGCTGCCACGTCAGCACCACGAAGCCGCCATGGCAGCACGACATGGCTGCCACGGCGGCGCGGAAGTGAGGAGAGGACGCTGCGGAAGCGTGACGAGAAGGCCCGAGCGGAAGGGCCTGCTCTGAAACCATGTTAAGAGAGCCTAGTAACTAGGCATAGGACTAGCGAGAGGTTTAGCTAGGGTAGGAGAAAGTTGACAAGAGAAAAGAGAGTAAACTAGGAAGAGAACGAGATACAAGAAGGGGGTTGTCCCCTCTACAGTAGGATCCAGCAATGTAGCAAACCTACCAAGCCTAAACAAATATATATATACAATATATAATTTGACAGAAACCCTGTTCTACACATGTCTCAGAAGACCCAGATGAAATGAAGCACGCTGCCTCTACAAGAGGACCTAAGCAAGCTTTCACAATACGTATTTTTTTGAAAGTGTGTAACACTTTCTAGAAATGTGTATTGTGAACGTGTAGCGAGGGCCAACGCAGCAAAGGCAGCGTCGAAGCGCTACTCACCCTCTTTTGCCTACAAAAGAGGGACGTGAAGCCATTCGGCCTCACCCACGTTCTTCTTTTCACATTCTCTAGTTCAATTTCCCCGCCCACCCATCCTCTTGTGTGTGGTGTCAACTTATACATATGTTGCTATGTAGAAGTTATAGGCTAGATAGGTGTATGTTCTTAGAGGGTACAACCC